TGTCTTCTTTTAGCAGGTGTGGAACTGCAGACAGACGAGATGCTGCGCTCAGTACTGAAGGAGGTGGGGATGTTGATTGCATTTTGTTAAGCTTAAGGTGCAGTTTTTTCCTCTGAACATCTCCATGCTTTGAACTGTGTGACTGTTTCCTTTTGGTGCCTTGACTGCAAAAACCGTAGGGTGGAGCTGCATTCACTCTCAGTTCTGACATTGAAGCTGTGATACAACCTTTTTTTTTCACTCAGGCTGATAATTCTTATCAGAAAACTGACGCTGCTGCTTGTTGCAGAGCTTGTGCTTCCTGCTTCTGAGATGCCTAAAACTGAGCACAGAGCTTCTAATTGCATGCTCAGATAATGCAGCCCCCATTTGGACAAGGGTCAGTGTGAAAGGGTTAACGTTAAGGTGGAGAGGAAGAATCAGAGTGTGACATGGTGACATCCAGGTGGGTGTGGGGGTGCTTTTAATTGTTTCAGAGCTTAAGGCCCAGCAAGCAAGAGGGAGGAGGTGCAGATCGACCAAAAACCACTTGATTCTGCAGCTCCAAACTACTTTGGATAAAAGAGGAATCCTTCCCATCCTGCTCCTGGCCAAGCTTGCTCCAAAGAGGCTGCATTAAGCAACAAGCAAGAGGAAACATGGGTCCTTGAAGAGCCTTAGAAATACCTGTTCTCACTCCGTTCCTGTTGCTGGGCTCAGGTTTCCATGCACAACGGTGATGTTTATCTGTTTGTGTCTGGTTCTGCATTGACTGCTTTCTTTCTCCTGCTTCTCCCATTCACCTTGTCCTTTCTCCAGGTGCGTTTGGGGCTGGTAAGAATGCAGAAAAGCACAGGGGAGAAGCGAGGGCGCTGCTCTTTGACCTTCCCCAGTGACCTGGAATGGGCAGGAGCGTGATGCTGCAGGTTTTGGCCTTGCAGCCTCTTAAATGCATCACTCATCATCTTGTTGCTGTGTTTTTCATGTATGGCATACATCCAAAGAGGGCCCCTAATGGAAGAAGTGTTTTAGAGACAAAAATACGCCCAGGAAAGAGAGATGGAGAGCCTGGGGTGAGGAGGGTAAGGGGGAGAAGAGGCTCACAGCTCCTTCAGTGAGGAAACAAAAAGGTTTTCTGTGCCTCTGCAGAGGGGACAGCCAACAGCAGTGACTTGATGGCAGCCTGATCACGGGCACCTTGTTCTTCTCCCATTGTTTCTGCCATTGTTGCTACCAAATAACGCATGAAGCTCATTGAAAGCTGAAATGAGCCTCGTGAGGGCTTTGCTGCGTCCCTCTCCCTGGGCATTAGCCTCTATGTGTGTAGCATTCAGGGGACTGGATCCTTATAGCTGTTTTTCAGGTCATTCTCTCTCTCTTTTAAGAATGGGAGGATGACAATGACTTTCTAACCTGAGTTTGAAGATCTTTGGAATGCTTTTTAAGGACGAGGAGGGAGCTGCTGCATTTGCACAGGGATGGTGAGGACCAGGATATTGCGTTCCTGAGCATCCTTGCCCTGTTTGCTCTCTTAACAGCCTTATTCTGTTCATTTCAGTTCCTCTTCCCTTCTGGATGCAGCGTTCTCAGTCACAACTAAATGAATCCTTCAGCAGGAGGATGGCAGATGAGTTCTGCCTGCTCAGGGCTCCTTGGGGCCAGCAATCCCTTCTGTGGCCCTTGACCCCTAGACACAGAAATGTGTGCCCTGCTCTTAGCAGGGGGACTCTTGCCATCTATTGGGAAGGGATGGAAGCTCGAGGACCTCTGCCATCCCCCAGGGTAAGATGACAAAGTGCATCCCACCTTCCTGGGTTTGTCTTGCAGGTGTCGTTTTGCTGCATGTGTGGGCTCAGCTCTTGCTGCTTTCCCACCATGCTGTCACTGCCTTGAGTCAACTTCTCACCCTCGTTTTGTCACTAAAAGAACATAAAACTCTTTACACTCTCCTCTATCCATACTGGGGAAGCATTTTGCTTGGGGAAAGCTGGATTTCGGCAGCTGAATCCTTGAATCATGCTCAAAAGCAATTAAGATCAATCAGGAAAATAGAGAGTGCTTGCCGAGTGCCTTGTGCTTGAGTCTTCCTTGGTCCAAGAAAACCAGCAGCTTCTATTCCAGTTAGGAATTTCAGTGTCAACTGATCTCTCTCCCCACCTTGAAAGGTGAAGGATAGAAATGCAAGGAAGATGCATGTGTTTTCTCTGTGGATGTGATGCTCTGTTGTTCCAATAGCAAAACAGCAGCTGTCATGTAAGCACTGAGCTACAGTGTCCTTTCTGAGCTCCTGTGCTTGCTACAGAAATACAACTGTTGTGTTTCATGGGGAAGTCGTGGAAATTCCAGTAGGGGTTAAACTTTACACTGGTTTATTCCTCACTGTGAGGTGCTCAGTCCCACTTCTCTGCAGTCACTGGTGTTTATCATCCATCCGGTGAGTGCAAAAGCAGAGCTTTGCCTCTACGATTGCACATGGCAGCAATATTCCAGCAGGGCCAAGGGGTGTGAGAGCTGCCACGTGTCGTTAACACCTCGCAGAGCATCGGGTCCTTTGGTTCCTCAATTATCACTCCGTGTGTTTAGAAGGTTGAGTTGACCTAGGTGAGATTTGGACCAATGGCTCCAGAGAGTCTACAGGGTGAAAGCATGAGGCTTGTGGAGGTAATGAGCCTTCCCTTTTAAAAAGAACTAACAATTAGGGGAGATTATAGAACCTAATAGCGCATGCCTAATTTTTTGGAAGCATGGACCATGACTGTGACTGCTTGGTCAAATCCAGCCCTGACTTGTCCTTATGGCAAGGTGTGCATTGCAGGCAGGTACAGAAGGAAGTGCTGAGGCTGAGGATGTGGCCCTGAAATTTGTTGTGCGTGGGTTTTAGGAAGAGATTCTTCTAAAAGAGAGCCAGGATTTGGAATTGCTGATCCTCGTGTGTCCCTTCCAGCTGAAAACCCTGAACGGTTTCCTTCATTTTCTGTTTATGTGATCAGATGATGCAAGCCCAGTCTAAGCAGCGTTTACACCCATAGTCCATGATTTTGAGAGGTTTCCTATTTTGTTTCTCAGCTTTTTGCTGAGTGCTCTTCTGGTCTTAACCTGCTGCAGTATGAAGGGGGCAGCAGATTTCCCCGAATCCGGCTCAAAAGCTTTGCTGAATTCCTGCCGAATGCTTTGCTTTATGCAACCCACAGGCACTTCCATCAGCTGGAAGCCTGCATGGCATTTGCTGCTTGTATCCTTACCCGACCCGGGCATCCAGAGAGCATTCCTCCTGCAGGCTGTCATGTTTCTCCATGCCCCGATCAGCAGACGCTCACACATTCCTTCCTCTGACCGAACTTCTTTCAGCTTCCTGCTGCTCTGAAACAGCTCCATTTGGTGCAGCTTCTGCTGTGAAGCATTTTGCTCCCGGTGTCCCTGGGTTTTGACCCATCAGGTTGTGCTCTGCTGATGGTAATTTGCAGAATTTTTGCTACAGGAAAACCAATGCATTACGGATCATCCCCATCAGCAGTTGCTGTTGGCTTCTTTGGGTAGAAGAGCAAAGCTCTGAGTGGTTTCCTAATTTGACATCTTGATATTCTCCATGAGTTGTACCAAGAAAGCCAATTACCCTCTTCTTACTTGTAGAATTATAAGGAGTTGCACTGGACCTTTGGAGAGCAAGTCCAACCCCATAATATTAACAATGACATTGGAGGGCTGCCCTGCCAACTCACAGGAATGTGGTTGGCATCTCCCTGCTCATGTTGTCAATTTTTCTTGGTGGGTGTCATCTCAGAGCCTGCCATACCAGTAAGTGATGGAACAGTGATGTTCTGTTCTTATGTTGGGTTGAGTCTTTGACGTCCCTTCCAACCCAAGCCATGCTGTGATCCCAGGAGCCCTCAGTTATGGACAAATCTGTTCCACAAAGAGCTGACAAAACAGGGAACAGGAGAGATTCTCCTGAAAGCAAGGTTGAGCTTCTCCAGTGTTGTCAGTTTATTCCATGTTGCCCAAATCCCTTGCTTAAATTCTACATTGCTGCAATTCAATTCCAGTCCAGCTTCCAGGAGTTGGTCTCAATGACCCTTATGAGCTCCTTCCAACTGGGGACAACCTATGATATGATTCCTTTCTCTTCCCAGCATGTTGCAGGTTCCTCCGATGCTGCTGCCTGACTTGCTGAGATATCCTTTCCCAATAAGTGGTGGCATCAGAGAGCGGGGAGCTCTGCACATCGGTGCCTGAGTAGCTGGGTATGAAGGCTAATGCAGATTAGGATAAGAAATGGGGCTGTGCTCTGAGCAGGAAGGGTAAATGGTGCTTAGGAAGTGATGGGGAAACCTGGGAAGAGGGGTAAGTCTGATGGCAGATGTGTCCTTGTAGTGTTAGCTGTTAAACCATGGGAAATACGCCCAGAGGTGGAGATAAAGCACTTTCATTTTTCAAAATGAAAGGTTTGCTAGCAAGCCCTTCACAAAATTCTAAATTTCATCAAGGGATACACTGAACTAATGGGGACATTCCTCCTAAAGTTGGCTTTTGTGAATACCTTGGTGCCTATCAGCTTTCTGCTGACTTGTTTGGAAATCCCATTAAACAGAGGTTCAAATATACGTGGCCAAAGCTGGGCAGAAAATACATTTCCATTGGCAGGGAAATGCTGATGTATCAGAATGCGCTTGGGTCAGAAAATATAATTTCAAGGTGTTCTCTCAAACAGATTTGCAGAGTGCTGTTTTTTCTTGTTGTTTGTACAATTAGAAGAACGTTTTATTTTGTTTATGAATGGAGAATTGCCTTTAGCATCAGGACACCGAGGGCTCTGGGGTAACTCTTGGTGCGGGTCTGGTTGGTTCTGAAAGATGTGCCGTTCAGATTCCTATCCCACCTCCTTCCCTGCAGTCCTGCCTGGATTTCCCCCCGTTTCCCTCCTGTTGCAACGCTCAGATTACAGGACAACCCATGATATCACCCGCTATGAGCAGAGGCTGAAGGGGTTGGGTCTTGGGAGGGGTTTGCTTGGCGAACTCCAGTGAAATTTGCCAGGAAGCAGCAGCTCCTTGCAGCGTATTCCTCCGGCTGCGGGATATTTCCCGGCGCAGAGGGGACCCTCGGACAGCTCAGCCCCAAAGGGAGAACTTCAGCCCCGAGGTCACCCCCAGCACGACCTACCACTAACCCCAAGGTAACGCAGGGCTGTCGCCCGTCCTCTCCGGGGAGGAAGGAGCTGATGAGTTCAACCTTTCCAACCTTTCCTCCCGTGCTGAAAGTTTGACTTTGCCTCTCTTTCCTCTTTGTTTTCCTTCTCTCCCATCACTGTGTGCAACGTTTAGCCTTAACGAGCTGGGCTGGCAATCGGGCATATGATTCCACTAATTCCTCTCTCCTGAGTCTTGGTGAGGGAGGGATGACACAGACCCAGCGTCGCTTTGCAAAGATGTTGTGAGCAAGTTATTCTCCCCTTTGCTTGCACACAGGCGCGCACTAATGAAGCAAAAAAAGACGTGTTGCAAACTGCCTGCAAGTCGAGGCAATGTGTTTTCTCTGAGGTTCTTACAATCTGCTTGATTTAAAGCTGCTGTGGATGCCATCGACGTGTTGCCAGCTACAAGCAGTTTGAATTCTCCTCTTTGAATACTGTGCTTTCAGTGGAAAAGGCTTTGGTGCAGATGTTTCCCATTGGCAGGAGGCACAGAGCAGATACATCCATAGATAAGAAACTTTGCTGTTGTCATGGTTGGGATCCACAGCCATTTGCAAAGCATCCTCCTGGCAGCTTTCCTTCGTTAGGCTGTTTTATCACAAAGTTCCAGGATTTGCAGTGGTATCCACCTGAAAAACTGCAGCAGAGAAACTGTTTCTGGAATGACTTTGCCTTCTTTTAGGTAAATTTGTGTTCTTTAAATTAGGAAGACGTTACTGTGGGAGGGTGAGAGAGGTTTAAAACCCAATGCAAGGTAGCACGCTATGCAGAAAGACCCCACTTTATCTGTCTGGGAACAATAGTAGGAAACCTGGTTAGCATCTCTCATCAGCTCATAACTGCGACACTGTGCTGCTTTCAGACTGGCGCTGAACAGGGGCTGCAAATAATTTGCTGTAGGGCTGCTGCTTGCCAGTTTCATTTCATCTGCATCGAACCACACGTTGGGGTAGAATTTCCTGGGTTGGAAGTGGAGAGCAGTCAGAAGACATGAAATGAGATGTCTGATGAGCTGCTGTAATGCGGAGCACGCAGGGGGAAGCCACATATTTACCTTTGTGTAAAGATGGAAGGAGTGGTGGTGGTGCAGAAGGGGACAAAGCCTTGGCCTCTTAGTAGAGCAGCCATGCGTTCTGCTGGCAGTTCTGTCCTTTTGTAAGCTAAGCAGGGACCTCCAAGTGCTTGTGATGTTCTCTGTAGTTTGTTCAATACATTGTCCCTGAACATCATTGATTTTGCCACCAATTCCTTCTCTCTTTTTTTTTTTTTTTTTTCCTTTACATTTGTCTTCTACATTCATTTTAACCTTTCATCCTTTTTTTTTCCTCCTGATCTGTTTCCTAACACCAGTAGTGTTGCTCGGGAGCACAAAGGTGTCCTTTCTCAGAGATGGCAGCTTCAGGGGTGGGCCCATGCAGCAGATCTCCGCCAGCAGGTTTGCAAAGCACTTTCTGCTCACTGCGATGCCTTGTGAGAGCTGCTGTGGTTCCCATCTCTGTTCACCTTGACTTTATGATACCAGGCAAAGGGAAAAGAGAAGGAAAAGAAAGAATTTCCCCAAAAAGCTGGGAGTCTTTCATCCTTCTGGCAGGTGGAACCTGTGCATGTAAAGCACAGAATGTTACCTTGGGTTGATCCCTTACCCTTGTCTAGGCTCTGCCTTGAATCCTACATGGCATTCTACCTAAAAATACCGTAGCTTACAGCTGGGATGTCTCCAGTGGTTCATTCAGCTTCCACTTTCAGTGTGCTTTTTGGATTGCCCTATGCTACCCCTCTTTGAAGTGTCTTTGTACTCAGACTTTCCTAGCAGAGAGGCATCTCATCTCCAAGGAAGCCATCCCACTGTCGCAGGATTATGTATGCCAGTTTCTCTGTATGTTGTTCTGCTTTGCTTTAGGGCAAGTTGCAATTAAGTGAAGGTTGGGGATCCCTTGGACTGGGGTTAAGAGTGGCAATGATTTTCTGGCCATCCCAGTCAATCTGTCCCTTGGAACAATGGGATAATACATCTCAGCTCCTATGGAAGTGGGTGGTGACGTTTCCATTCGCTTTAATAGGACTGGAGAGGCCAATGCGAGTTGCCTGTTGGCTGGAGATCTGCTTCCCCAATGGGAAATCCCATTACTGCCCTATCGCCATGCTTCCTATGGGGTGTGTGACTGAAGTATGAAATTGGAAATGCAGGGAGCAGCATTTGGGGTGGCCAGATATCAGTGTGCAGTGCTCCTGGCCGTGTCCCAGAGCTGTGGTCAGGGTGTAGTTGTCCCTTCCTCCTGATGGATGCTCCATGTCGTGCAAATCGGAGCGTTGCTGGGTCTGCAGTCCCAAATCAGCCACTCGAAACTTTCCTTTTGTTGCTGGATCAGAGGCGAGAGGGGAAGCTGGTTTGTTGCAGGCTCTGTCAGAGCTGATCTATTGTTCTGACGATTTGGTGAAATGAAAAAGGGATTCTAGCAGCTCAGAAGGGCTTTGATGTGGGGAGATGAAGAGCCTATTAGTTTCACCTGGCGAATTCTCTGAAGAAGCAAAAGCTCGACATAATTTTGAAATGGGATTGCTGCATGCTTCTGTGTGTGTCCATCATTTGGAGACTTCAGACCAGAGCTGAAGGGCTCTGGTCTGAAAAGGGCTGGTCTGAAAAGGGCTGAGTCAGCAGCTTGCAGGAGCATGCCCCAAAGCCTTAAATTACAACTTAAGGACTCTCCATCACGTTGCTATGGCCTGATGTACAGGAGCCAGGAGACCTGGAGTATTTTCCTGGCTTCTTTATTCAATAAGTTTTCAATGCTCTGTCTTGGATTCTTCTGAATGGGGAGACCAAGTGAGATACTTCTAGGATTATGTCATTAATGAGTCTGGAGGCTGTTAGAGGATTTGAGGGGAGGAATGAGCCCTAAAGCAAAGGAAATCACCAGCGCAGAGCAGACATCCTGCAAACCCAACCCTGGATTTCTTCTTAGGCAGCTCAGTGTGTGCAGCTCTCTGATATTTCAACAGGATTCTGCTTTTCCTGACATCATGGCTTAGTCTGAATGGTTTTTCTTCAGCCCCTGAATGGACAAGAGCTCTGGGTTTGCAAGGTTTGAGTTCTGGGGCGATGCAAGCACTGGGAAGGCTTTGTCTCCAAATGTTTGAATGTGCAACTATTTAGGATGGTAACACGACCTGAAGGGAAGCAGGCTGTGGCTGCCAGCACACACTGCAGTGTTGTCTCCTGGATCGTGTGCAATTGCTGCTGTTCTGGTCTTAGGGGAGAATTCCTCTGAGATGCACAGATTTAATGAGATGAGAAGGCAGATTTCAGGCTGTTTTTCCAGTACCTTCTTTTGGGCCTTGTCTCAAAGGATCCCAATGGAGATGGGATGGTGCACGACCTGAGCACGAGATGCGTGCCCCCCAAATCATTCCCCTTGGCAAAGGTTCAGGATTGCATTCATACAAAGTTGTTGAAACACCTTTTTTTCCCATCAGCCTTTTCTCTATGGAGCAAGGGACCTATCCATCCTCCCCAGATTTTCTCAAATTCGGCAGTAAACAGGTTTTTGTAGCTTTGCACGGCTCTGAAAGCCTCTAAGCTTTGGGAAACAAAGGCAAGTTATCCTGCAGTTGGCTCTTAGTGCTCCCAGGGTGCTGACCTGATGAGTTTTTGCCAAATGTGAACATTGCACCTGTGGAATTTGCTATAATCTATATTAGTAATGTTGGTACCCACTGAAGCCCGTTGGTCCCCATTAAATCATGAAGTCTGCACCAGCAATCTGCCCACTGACTGTGAGATCTCCCGATGCTGTGACTTCCTATAGGGCTTCTTCCAGGGCTCTGTGTTAATTAATTAATGCTTCAGGGAGCTCAGCTGGTAACCATTACATCCTGCCTCCAAATGGTTTCCCCAAACCGTTGTGTCTTTTGGCTGCAGTCCTCCATTGAAACGACCCAGGAGCTTTGGTTTGAATTGGATGCAGCCCTGCGAGCTGGAGCTATTCCCAAAAGGTAACCTAGATGGGAACTGGGCATCTCCTCTTCATTATGGCAATATGCCTTTATCTCTCGAGAGCTTCCTCCAAGACTTGACCACAAGGCCAACGCTCACAGATGATGTTTGTTTGCTAAGAGAAAGCCATCATGACGCTTCAGGTTGTGTTGAATTCTCCCTCTCCAGGAACTGAGATGAAACAGAGGTTTCCACCCAGCTCAGCTTTTGTTTCGCATTCGCTGAGGCTGTTTAAATCCTATTTACTCAGTAGCAAGAAACAACAGCCGCGAAAAACACGGTAGGACAAAACAGATGTTTAAAGATTAGAGCTGAAAACCAGATTTCCCAAAGACCATTGGGCTCACAGCTCTGTGGGCTCGTCGTTCCCCCTCCGGTATTTTTACTTATAACTAACATATGTTATTTCTGTGCTATGATCTAAGGGGGTTGCTTGGAAATCGTTATCCTGTTCACAACAACTGCTCTGCCCACGTCTTTATCCTCTGGGCTGGAGCCCATCCTGCATCCATGAAACACATTGTAAGAGGTTTCTTTTGAAATCCCTGCTGGTGGGTATTGAAGTCGGGTATGTCTGACAGCACTGATGTGCATTGGCTCGGGAGCCTTTTGGTTTTGCAGAGCACGTCTCCTGCTCTGCCGACTGCATTTGCTTTGGGAAATCCCCTTTGTTTCCTGTTGGAGGAGAGCAGCCTTGTGAAAGCACTGTATTTCCTTCCTCTCTGTCTGACACGGGGCAGGGCTTGCTTCCATTCCTCTCAGCCTCACCTCCTGACCTGCAGAAATTGGAAAAATACCTTGTCTGCTTGCCAGAATTTCTTTGAAAACGTCCAAATCTCAGTCTGGTGAAGCCACTGTGAGAATATCTGGCTCCTTGAAACCAAATTGTAACTGTCCTAGAAATGTTTGCCCCGTATTCCCCCTCCTCTGTTGTAGTCCCCACTTTGCTTTTTCACTTTTCTGCCCAAAATCCAATGCAACTCCTTTAGTGAAGTCCTTTGTTGCACGCATGTGACTTTTATGGAAATGTCTTCCATCCCCAGCATGTCAGAGGGTTCTCACTGCTACCAGCCCTATGGAACACAAGGGGAAACTGAGGCAGAGCGCTGGCTGAGGTTAGGTAGCAGGCTGAAGCTGAGGTTTAACTGCATTCTGAATCTCAGGCTTGTCCCCTGGGATTTCTGATACATCTCTCTAGCTTGGAAGGCTGCTGTCATGCTGGTCCCTTTTTGGGGATAGCTGAGCCCCAGCAAAACCACCGGAGGGTTTTACATCGCAACATCTGTTTGTGGAGCCCAATCTTTCCCTCTCCCTCCTCTTTGGTATTTGCCAGGAAATAACAGAGCTTTAAGGGCTGGGGAGCTTTTTCCCACTGCACTGTGGCATTGCTTCATTTGGAAGCTATTCAACCATCAGCCCCCACGTGTGCTCCTTGACCGCTCCGCGTGCTGGGGAGTGTGTGAAGTGGGCAGAAAATGACCAGGCTTTAAGCTCTGCCCAGCATCCGGATAAAATCCTCTAATGAGCCAAAAGTTGCTGGTTCTTACTTTCAATGGCCAGTTTGCTACGCTGAGGGATGAGCCCCAGCCCTGATTTAGCAAGCAAACCCTGGAGATCATTAGCACATGGCAAGGCCAAATGAGATTGCTATTCTGCAAGGTAGGGCTACCTGCATTGATTTTCTGCAGAGGAAATGATGTGCAGTGGCAGAAATAAGTCTTCTACCATGAAATTAGGAAAATAGACCTCAATAGCAATGCGTTGCTTCTGACCACACTGTAATACCTTTCACTGCCCCTTCAGTTTTTCCACTGTTTAAGTGATTGTGCTCTTTTTTTAAGGGGAGTATCGGGGAATAATGGTTAGTTCCACCCTAGTTGAGTGTCTTGCACTTACACTGAATCATAGAACCATTAAGGTTGGGTAAGAACTCTGAGATCACCAGATCCAACCATCAATCCATCTCTGCTAAACCACGTCGCTGTGTGCCGCAAATACTGAGCTATTGGATTTGCAGAGGAATAGGAAAATCCCATTGCTGCCATTCTTGACCTGCAGAATGTTGCCCTGGAAAATAATATTCTTCAGCCAGAGCATTTTGACTTAAATTTGCAAGCGCTTTTCATGTTTCTTCTCATTTTCTTCTCCCACCCCCCGGGAAATAATTGACTTTGGTTCTTACCAAGTCAGGTCATTGGGTATGGTGTCTCCCATAGGTTTACCCCCTTCTGAAGCAGGAGGAATGAAATCCACGTCCTCACCAAGCCTCACTCACCCTCTCCTTTCATTCCGCGCAGCACCTACCTGCACTGACCAGCAGCTGCAAAACAACACTTTGGCTCTGAGCACTGTGAGCACTGAACATGGAAGGATTCCTGGGCTTTAACCATAACCACTGTTTCATCGTGCTGTTCTTCGTCTCCCTGAGCCTTGCCCAGTACGAACACTGGCCCTACCTCCCCGGGTACCCTGAGCCACCCCCACAAGTCTACCAGCCCCCCCAGAGGCCAGCAGACGTTCCCAAAATCCAACTACGGCTCGCAGGGCAGAAGAGAAAACACAACGAAGGCCGAGTGGAGGTGTTCTACAGCGGCGAGTGGGGAACGGTGTGCGATGATGACTTCTCCATCCATGCAGCGCACGTGATTTGCAGGGAGTTGGGCTACGTGGAGGCAGTGTCCTGGCTACCGAGCTCAAAATATGGGAAAGGAGAAGGTAAGGTGACCCCCAGAGCTACAGCATCTTGCTTAGCTGTCTCCCTAACCCTAATAGTTCTTGACTCGATGGCGAGATTTGAAGATGTAGGACCAGACAAAGAGCTGAAGGAGCTGATCTTGGTGTGTGAGCTCTAGCAGGGGAGGAGGGTAAGAAAATCTGCAGCAGGGCTACTGAAAAGGTATCTGCAACCCCAGATGTAACTTACAGGTAGTTATGTAGTTCACGCTTCCATTGCCACGCAGTGAGTCAAACAGAACCTCTGAACACTCTTTCCTCCTGTTCTTCTTTTCCCTGCGAACAGTTTGGGCTCCAAATAGATTGTCTTTTTGATGACGTACAATTCTCTTTCCTCCTGTTGTCTTCTCTAGAGAGGCATACATCACTCTGCAATGCAGAGTAGCCTGCAAAACCCCAAAGGAACGTGTATGCTTTGTGTCCTCTATAGGACTGTGTTTAGAATAATCTTTTGGGACTCTCCAAGCTGGTCCTGGTGAGGAAGAGCTGTTCACCCCCAACCCAAACTGCATGTCGCTTCTATCGTGACCTTTGAAATAGCACAAGGAGGTTGCGTGGGCAATTGCAGCTTGGAAAGTTGGATCTTTCCTTTTTATAGATAGTAATAAACTCTCAGAATAGTAATGCTTGAGGTAGAATAGCTCTGCGAGAGTATGCAACTCAGCAGCCTTGTTTAATTGTCTTTTACTACGCCGTTAGTTAAATACTGGCCGGTGGAGTTTCTTTCTCCAAACTTTAAGGCCTGGCACACTGTTGATGTAACCCGCAGACAGATTATTTCCACTCCAGCAGGGATAAACGTGCTGTATGTCTGTTACTTAGCACTGCTCGTTAGTGCTCACACCTATAAAACTGCCCGTTAAGGAGCGAGCAAGCCTTAAGGTTGACTTGAGTGAAACGTGAAACCTGGAATGTTGTCCCAGGCTGTGGATTTTGGCTTTTGGGGTGGAGAAGATTTCCGACAGAGAGAAAAGAGTCCATGGCATTGGAAAACAAGCCAGAAAATCTTTGCCATCTGGTTCAGTAGGTAAATTCTGATCCAGAGAGCCTGCATAGGGAGAACTGTGCCTTCCTAGGTCAGAAGGGACTCAATAGACCTAATGTTTGGGGAGCATGAGGAGGGCTGGCAGATCCAACTGAGCATCAGGGCTGCTGGTACGAAGCTGGGAAAGCCAAGGGAAGCAGATCCCACTGCTCTTAGGAAATCTCCTTGTGGCTCTGAAGGTGGGGCAGTCCCTTCCATCCAAAGGCCGCGTCCTTCAGACAAGCAGAGATTTGGGGACCCAAAAATATGGGAATCGTTTGTCGTTGCTCCTTGGAGTTCAGGGGATAAATCACGGGGGAATAACATGTGCCCAGCACGTTTCCAAAGGGAACGTGAGCACTTGGTAAAGGGGAGTCTCGAAGGTTCTTTGGTTCTTTGCTTGGAAAATATGACCTCAAGTTCTTGGAGTGGCAACTGTAGATTTTTGTCCACCTGTTGGTCAGCTCCGAAGGGCCTGATTTGTTTTTATACAATATACCTGTAGCTGCAGTCTGGAAAGTGGATCTGGTCATTGGTTTTCAAGGAGCACACGAATAACAGGATAACACAAATAACAGGAGGTTCCAATCAACGGTGGTTTGTTTAATCTTTTGCAAAAATTTGCCTTTAAAACGTTAGGACATTTAATCAAAACTTGGAGCACTCTCATGGAAGAGATTTAACGAGGGTTTGCTGGGAAACGATGTGAGGAGAAGCCTTAAATACAGGGGGTGATTCGGTGTGATTAGAGGGCAGGGTCCAATCAGCCAAACCCCTGATTATCACAGTCTGGATCTGCATCTTTCTGAGTCTCATTTCGATTTTCTTTTCCCTTCAGGGAAAATTTGGATGGACAATGTCCATTGCAATGGCAAGGAGACCACGCTGGCAGCGTGCACCTCCAATGGCTGGGGAGTGACAGACTGCAAACACACCGAGGACGTGGGGGTGGTCTGCAGTGAGAAGAGAATCCCTGGCTTCAAGTTTGACAACTCGTTGCTCAACCAAATAGAGGTAAATAGGCTTTAAAATTCTAGGATGGTGGTCGAGTCTGCCTTGGAGATGTCTGCTATGTGTTGTAGGTTATCTGAGCTGCACCCTGTAGTGAGAGCAAATGCTTGACAGTGACTTTTTAATTGTATTTCTAAGAAAAAAACAGGAGAGAAGGATGTTTGCTGTACCCATAAGCTTCTACCCATGTGGGTTTATTGGCCCATAGCACCGAACTGCTGAGTTTTCTTTCCCCTCATGGCTCCCTTTGGGTACTGGAAGCAAACTGGAGGTCTTTGGTGTAACAGAAGATAGGGTTTGTAGCAAATAGGGCTTATAAGCATGGGGTTGGGAGGAATGGATTTTCAATACAAAAGGGTTTTTGGTCTGGTTAGCTAAGTAATGATGTGACTGTGATAATTCTATGGAAATAGTTCTGGGAGTGGGAGATTAGTGCTAGAAGCGATGAAATGAACATGAGCAGAGGAAAACGTAGGCTGGTCACTGGGGGAAAGGCTCTGGATTTTGGCTGAGGTTGCACCTCCAGGAGTGAAATGCCTGAATCACTGCTCAACCAGCATTGTTAGATTTCTGCAGTATAAAACTCTGTGGGGAAATAACCCGGGGGGAATGCTGGGCTGGAAAGAAGCTGGGCTGAGCTCATCAAAGGAAAAAAAACGTTTGCTCTCTCGAATGTTCAGGTTGGAAAATATTTGTGGTGACTCAGCCAACTGCTCCCTTGTTTCAGTGTGCAGAACATCTCAAAAGAACTTCTCCACCAACCAAAGTCAAACCCTATTTTAAGCAGAGAGAGAATCCAGGGTGCATCGCATGCCACACCGTGGTTTCCGTGTGGCTGAATCTTGGCTCCGTTTGCCATCTGAAACAAAGGATGCAGCATTCTTTGTCACCATGCAGCAAAATTGTTCTAGTTTTGCTTTGCAGTCACTGACGGGTGGAAGGCTCTGAAATTCTACTTGTCTTGACCTGGCTTCCCTTTGCTACAGAGGAGGAAGAAAGGCTTTCCAAAAGGATCTCAATGGCCCCAGGCAGTTGCTTAGGGAGCGAGGCTCATAGAACATCAGTGATGGCTTTGACAGATGTGTGCTTTCCCAAAGCCATAGTGAATCCTCCAAAGAGAGGCCTGGAAGAAAGGATGCTTTCGTCTAGACAGAGGTTGCATCGCACTGAGATGCTTTGGGTATTAATCACAAAAGCTGGGGAGGGCTCTGCTTTTCCGTTAGCTAAGCACTGGAGGTTGATTAATGAGGAGAACACGTTGGGGTGACCAAGAACTGGTTGTGCTGATGCTGTGTGGGTGTTGAGCTTCATGTCAGATAAAGAGAATGAATCACAGGACTGGAGCAGCTCATGTGGCTGAAGCCATAGGAGAAATAGGTTTGGGTGAGTTGTATCCTCCATGACCAGGGAAGCTGGGCATGGGTGAAGGTGTTCACCACCATGGTAAGGGGTGAGTTGCATTCCAGAGGTGGGTGAGGAGCACTGGTGACCAAAGCCACTGGTGAGGGTAGAGAGTTTTCTCATATCCCTCTAATGTCACAGAGAGCTGAAGGGTTCTTTATTCTGCTGGTTTTAATGCTGCAGGATTAAGGCTAAAGGTGATGTGCTATGAATTTTTCAGATGCCTGTGTGGAAGCACAGCTCACTCACAGCTAGCTGTCAAATGCTTCAGGTTTTCCACCCCCCTTCCAGCTTTCGTTCTCTTCTCTGTGTTTGCTTTATCTCATTAGCAGCTGCTGTGGCATTGCTGGGAGTCAGAGACGATGAGAGGGGTTACTCATAGGGTCACAAACCACCAAACAGTGAGGTCAAAAGGCTGATGTGAACGCAGGCTTAAAGTCTTTGCCCTCTCCAGCATGCCTGGGAATTCTGCATGTCATAGCATGCATTCACTGGGGGAAACGTCATCGTTCTGTGAGCAGTTGGGCTCCTCTGGCTGCAGCCCAGCTCTTGCCCAATGGATGTTTCCCCCATTAGGATGGGATTGGAGTGAAGGACTTGAGATATTTATTTTTTTTATGGACAGGTCTCTCTGCCCTCAGCTACTGCACTGGTGAAGGCAGTGTGATAATGGTGATGTATTGATGCAATTGGTGGGAGCAGCACTTCTGTTCTGCCTTCCTGGGAAATGCGTGCTCTGGGCAGCACAGACAACCCATCACCAAGCAAGTGCCATTGCACTCATCTTAAATTCATCATTTGGAAATTGACTTCAAGCCCTTTAGTGCTACTTTCTGTGGGGCTGCCAAGGTTGAACGGGGAAAGCCAGCAGCTATAAGGCAACATCTGACTTCATTCTGACTCGGCTCCAACTCGGAGGGGCTGTGCAAACTGATGTTTGCTCAAATCTGGCCCCACTTCCACTAAAATCCAGCAGGCAGAAGGATTGCACACTCTTAAAAGCAACACGAGAGCCTTCGAGCAGAGCTTATTTTTATTGGACGTTATGCATGCTTCTATTCCCCAGTTTGGAAATGCTGTAGATAAGTGGTATAGGATAAAATTTCCATCACCAGAAGCCACTTGGCTTAAATATATACATGTCTATGTATGCTCAGCCGGATCTTTTCCCATCGCAGCTCATGCTTGGAGGGTTACATCACACCTCTTCCTGTTCCTGAGCCTTTCCATTCCTGCTCCCCCAGTTCTATGCAGCAAACCCGCTCAGCCCAGCTTGAGTGGTAGGAGATACGTGACACAGAGGCAGCAGATGGGCAGGAAGAGGTTTAAAAGGACCGAGCTTAGGGCAGCTCTGAAATCAATCCATCAGCCTCTTGCTGAAGGGCAAAGTCCCGTTGTGCTTGATACTTCCAGCAGATGCTGCAGCTTCTAGCCTTGTTCTGAGGGTTGTTTCTTGGAGAGTGGTGGATGCACGGAGTGGGGCTGTTGGCTGGGATCAGCCTGCTGAGCACTGCCCATCTTCAGCAGAGCCTGCTTGAAGCAACCTGGGGCAATGACACTGAGTGCAATCCGGAGCTGCTTTTCCCCCTCCTCTCTAAAACATGTAGACTAAGTATGCAGACAGCTTCTCATTTATGGAGAGAGCCTCTGGCTTAGCCTTGTTTTACTGTGGATGTAAAGGCTGCCCACAGCCACAGGGGGAGGAGGAGACTGATTCTGGACCTGTGCTCCTCCATGCAAGCATCAGCTCATCCAACACCATGTGGGCAAATTACGGTTGGAATAACATGGGGAGTTGACTTAGCTTGTATTTCTTGGAGTAAAAGCTCCCAGGTTTGCGTGCTTGTATTCACATTTGTGAGTTATTGCATGACTTGGGAATACAACAGGAGGGCAGAGCACAGCACCTGCTTTGTTCATAACGATGTCTCCAGGTCCAGCTGTACAGCTGCTGTGTAGATGGGGCAGGGGATGCTCTTAGGGATGCCATGCCTGAAAGCCCCACAGAGAGCAGGGAGGGAGCTGGGAGTTGAGATGCCCTTCTCTGATGTGCTAGGGGCTGGATGAGAGCAGTGCATGGTCCAAACACACACAAACCCACCTGTGACAGCACTGCTAAGACCACAGCAACCAGCTCTGCCCTGAATACATCTCTTTAATAAATGCATTTTTTAAGCCATCCCCCAAAACATCCTTAGCAAAATATTTGTTGTCCGTCCTCTTCCTCTCTGTGCACACATCCAGGCTGCAAATAGGATGTGCTCTAAATATATCGAATAGCTGCAGCCACAGTGTTCCCAAATAGATGTGGTACCTGGGAGCAGACAGTGGGCAGACGAGGGCTGGTGGAGCAGACCGGGCTGTGCTGCTATTCCTGTCCTCCTTTTCCTTTCTGGAGCAGAAAAATCTCACTTGAAAGCCCGGTGGCTCAAAGGGTCTGGTTGTGCCGGGTTGGAAATGGGTTGAGTTTATATTGTCTGGGGTTTGTAAGCAGCCCAGGCTGTGGGGATGAGGTTGTATAGAACTCCTCTGTGTGCTGCTGCTAAGTGCAAGGCTGAGGATGGGGACAAGGGTCAGTGGGCATGGTGGGGTGGGTTGGGGTTGGCCCTGGTGATCTCAGGAGTCTTTTCCAACCTCTGTGACCACGGTGGGGATGGTTTGGGACTGGACTTTGATGACCTTAATGTTCTTTTCCAATCTGGATGATCCTACTGTGCTATGATATTGCTTGTGGCCTGGCACAAGTAGAACTGTTATATCACCATGCAAATCAGTGGATGCTCTCTCTGTGCCACGAGGATCTGTTCCCACCACCTGAGACCAGCCCTGTCCTCGCTGTTTGAAAACCCAGTGTTTGTTTACCTGTTTGTGTCAACAGGGTTTAAGCTCTTCCCCCATCATGTAAATGTTTACCTCTCTAAGCACACACCTGTGTGCAACATAAATGCTGATGTTTGCCCAGAGAGCATCTCAGCATCTGGTCTGGAGATAGCTCAAGTCAGATGTTGATTAAACCATTGAGGTAAGCCTCTGTTTCTTCACTGCTGTAATTTTAATGTGTGTGCAGGGGTTTCTGGTGCTTGCCATCCAGCCCTTGTCTCCAGTGCCCCCTGTTAGCCTTCCTTAGCCTGCTTTGCACTGGGCTCCCACTGAAGCATTGCACAGTTTAGCAAAGGCCTCAGCTTTGTCACTTATGATCTGCACTGCGTTTGCTCCTGGAGTCTGATCCTGCACTGCGCTCTCCTCTCTCACCCTTTTGCTCTGTGCAAACCTCAGAACAAAAAGTGCTCCTGGTCCAGTGCAGTGCAGTGCAGTGCAATGCTCCCAGGGCTGCTGCCTGCCCTGTACAGCCTGTTCAGTCTTGCAGCATCTCCCTGCCTGTGTTTATTTAACAGCTGGGACCTCAGCGGTGACTCAGAGGCACAGCTCCAGATGTTTAAGTCCAAACAGATTCCTCTCATTCCCATGCATGTGAAGAGAGAGCTTTTGTGAAAGCAGGGGGGCAGTGAGTATGGACTATCGAGGGACAGAGGTAGCACTCAGGCTCATTGCTTCGGTTAAATCACACATCTAAACGTGTGTAACCATTGCTGGGCATCCTCAGGGCTGCTGCAAGGAGAAAGCTGTCACTGAGCCTGGGAGGGTGGGGGGATGGTCCTTCCCATAGGAAAGGATGGCAAAAGGTAGAAGGAAATGTTATAAAGTGTGGGTGTTTGCAATCAGGGGTTGCATTTGGTTCAGAGAGATGAAAACAAAAGAGCTGAGGCTCAGGACCGACCCCTTTTCTTCTTGCTATCCCCTGTTCTCTGAAGGTGGAATTCATGGGTTTTGTAACAGAGAGGAGCAGGAGGAAGGGGAAAGGACCCAAAACAGTTTTGGGTTCTGGAGGCTTCATGCAAGCAGGAGTGAAATGCCTTTGGGTTTCCTGCTGCGTTTCCTAGAGGTAGTGCTGCTCTTTGGATGGCTGCCTGGCTCCTGAAATGCTGCTGCAGGCTCTGCTTTATGGTTGCAGCACAGCTGCTCGTCTGATAGCTGCTTGGAGATCATCAGAGGGTTTACAGGTCTGCCTCAATAGCTGGCATAACAGAACCAGCAAAGCTTTCAGACGGAGGTTTCCTCGTTAACACGAGCTCTTGTTGCAGGCCTTTGTCTCCACGTGTACAGAAAGCACGCGCAGGCTGTCTGAAAGCATCTGCTCCAGCTATTAAATGTTGTTTGTTCTGATTTGGATGTGAAGTCTGTTTTCACCATCAGTCCCTCTGCTGTATGCATTGGTGTCGGGGCTAAAATACAACCTGGCTGTGCTTGCATTACTGAATACTCCCAGTGCAGAGAGAGGAAACCATTCAAGCCTGTATAGAGCCATTGGGAGGAAGGTCTTAGTGTGCTGCAGGAGGAAGGAGGGCTTACTTTGATCCATTGTTCTTTATTCTCCCAGTATAAATCCAGGATCAGCAGCACACTGAATTCTTCTCCTGGATGTTTTGCTGTTTGTTCAGACCCAGAGCAAAGCCTTGTGCTCACAGATTCACAGAATGTCCCGAGTTGGAAGGGACCCATTGGAACCATCATGTCCAACTTGCTGTGCCAGAAGTTCTGTGAGCGAAAAGTACTGGAGGTTTTGCTGCTGCTTGGATGCAATTCCTGCCTTAGGGTCATTGCAGAAGCACTTTGATCCCTCTGCATTGATCTGCAATGATCCTCTCATTGCTCAACCTGCAGAAAGAGTCAGATAATCTTTCCTTTCTCCCATCTTATGAGGGCTGTATTTGTCTTGGAAGCTTTTCAGCTCTGTCACCCCTGCAATAAGGGAGCATTCATCTTGCTGAAGACTTCTACTGCAGCAGTGAGCAGTAATGGCTTAATGATGACTAATGAGTGCAGCACAGGGTAACGATTCTGCTGCGGAAGCACCAGGCAGATGTTTCACATCTGGACTGTTGCTCTGCATGAAGCACACGGAGCAGTGCCACCGTGCAGCTTCTTTGCAACATGTGCATCTCAGAGCATCGTTCCTGGAGGTGATACCACACTTTGCTCTGAATGTTTCTGTTCCTTTAGTATGTGCTGTCCAGATGTCTCAGTTGGTTCCTGCGTGGGACCCTTTTTCTGAACACCTGAATGTCTCAGATGTGGCAAACCTTGGATATCGTTGTGTCGTTTGCTTTCTTCTCAAGGGCTGTAGGAGCTTTCCAGACCTAAGCCTGAGCTGTCAACTCACTGTGTTCATCCCTGCACAGAGTCACCAGGGCTGTCCCATGGGTGCTCCTGCTGTGGAGGGCTGAATTCCTGCAGATGGAGGTGAAAAGGAGATATCAGCCAAGTAGTAAATGCAGTCAATAATAAATATATGTAAAGGTTTGCCCAAGGCTGGGAGTAAGGCCCAGCCTCTCCCTGCAGTTGGTTTCAATTTGCCCAAGGCTGTGATTCCCATCAGTGCTGGGGGATGGATGTGCCACGTGTGATTCTCGGAGCTGCATCAGCCCTGCAGTGCTCTTCCTGCCCCAAATACCTGCGTGCCACCCGCAGAGGCCGTGTCTCTTTAAAGCTTTGGGCCCCCTCCTTTTCCAAGTGATGGAGGGGAGGGCAGGATTCCTCAGATCTGATGTAACCCTGAGCAGAACCACGTGGCTTCGTACATTTTTGAGAAGAAAAATTCTCCTGGAAGCAAGCAATAAAATTTTCAGTAGCTCCTTTGTAATTGCTTGCCACAGCAAATATTTTCCAGTCAGCCTTCGCTTTGGGCTCAGGTCCCTGCAAGGTTTCTGCAGTGTCCTCACGTAGGCTCCAAAATGCAAAATCCATTCGACCTCCCCGACTTGTTTGCTGCAGGAGGAGCTCAGCTTGCAGAAATGGGGGTATCTCTGTGCCAACAGTGTGGGGATGGGAGCCCAGGGGGACCCCCAGCTCGGTCCCCTGCCAGTGCTCTGTGCCAGTAATCAGCCCCACCACAGCTCACTCCAGTAGTGGCCAAAACCCCTACACATGTAGTGAGGTCACTGCTTCTGAAATCAACACTTTCAATGAACTTCAGTAACAGAGGGGATTTATTACACAGCCATTCATTCACACATGTATATGTGTGTATATACCCACTTGAAGGACAGAGGAAGGAATTGCACAAGGTAGAAAGGCTTGTTTGCTTCATGGTTGTCATTGAATTGATTGAATTGGAAAGGACTCTTAGAGGCCATCTGGTCGAAACCCCCTACAATAAACAGGGACACCCACAGCTCAGTGGGGTGCTCACAGCCCTGCCAGCCTGACCTCGGGTGTCTGCAGGGATGGGGCATCCACCATCTCTCTGAGCAACCTGTGCCAGCGCTTCATGGAATAGAATTATAGTCATTAAGGTTGGAAAAGACCTCCAAGATTCCAAAGCCCAAATCCCAACCCACCGTACCTGCAGAACCGTCAAGGTTGGAAAAGATCACTAAGATCCCCAATTCCAACCCCAGCCCGCCCCCACCGTGCCCATTAACCGTGTCCCTCAGTGCCACATCTTCACGTTCCTCGAACAGGAACAAAGATGCCACCACACCTCTGGACTTTTCCCAAACAGCCCTCATCACTCCGAGCACAACAGCTCCCCCTTCCCCAGCAGCTTCATTGCAAGCCTGCATCGTTCCTCTTTCTTTTCCACTCACAGAACATGAACATTCAGGTGGAGGACATCAGGATCCGGCCCATCCTCGCCACCTATCGCAAGCGGGTGCCCGTCACGGAGGGTTATGTGGAGGTGAAAGAAGAAGGGACCTGGAAGCAGATCTGTGACAAGCACTGGACCATGAAGAATTCCCGAGTCGTCTGCGGCATGTTTGGGTTTCCGAGCGAGAGGAAATACAACACCAAGGTCTACAAGTAAGGGCAGAGCTCTGTGTGTTTCTTTCAGCACTCGGGGCCTTGTTCAGAAAGCCCAAATTGTCAAATGGCGCTGGGGACCTTGAGGTAGAGTAAGCTCCGACTGCTTAATTCCTTCAGATCGGGTTTTCCTACTGTGTAAATACTTGAGACGTCAGGTATTTCCTTGGGTGGGCAGGGGTGGTTTGCTCCCCAACCAAGAGTGTCACTGTTAGTAGCTGGTAGCTCCTGCAGCAGATGTGGGCATTCAGCCCAGTGCATCCCTTTGTTTGCACCTATTAGCAATGGGTTCAGGTCCTGTGTTGTGTGCAGGGGGTTGGGTGGACAAGAGCAAAACCCATCATCCGTGAGCTGAGCTCAGTGCTTCCATCTCTCTGCAGAAAGCTGTAGGGTCAGGTCTTGTGCTGAAGGCTCTGCTGGGAGAACCTTGGAACAAAGCAGGCTTTTGTTGGCTGCATTGCCCATATTGCCCGTGTTCCTCAGTCCTGGTCTTGCTCCTCCAATGTCACGCTTACCCCCATCAAGCAGCTGCTCTCCGATTTAGGGCAGTTGTGATTTCAGTGTTGTTTCATATACACATATATATTTATTTTATATTTCTCGGTTGCTTTAAAATGAGAGGAGGAAACGGCGATCCCTAGGGAGAAAGAACATCGTGCCTTCGAGAGCCTCAGGCTGAGCAGTTCAGGCTGTTTCTCCATCCTGAAAGCTGGGAGCTCCGGTCTTTTGTTGCTGTTGTCAATGCTTTTTGTCACCATCCTTCATCACAGACATAGATCTTCCTACGCTGTTCCCTAGGAATAACACCCCAGAGCAGATGCAAAATAGTTTAAGCTCAATTCTGCCTCATTTTTCCCTCTGCTTTGTGACCCAGGAGTGGGAAAGTGTCAGTCGGTGAAGGGGAAGCTCTCCAGGCAGGAGCTGTGGTTTTCCTGTTCTTTTTGGCCTCTGCGTTGCTATTTCTGAAAGCTCCCCCTGGAACCGGCTGGCCAAATCTCATTTATTTTGTTAGAAAGACGGTGATCAATAGAAGAGGTCTTTGGGTTGGGAGAGCGTAAAGCCATATAGCAGCAGAAAGAATATAAAGTGAATAACCCAGGTGGAGCTCTGCTTTTGGGCACCCCGGGGAGCCAAGCAGGGAGCTGATAATTGCTAGCAGGCAGTTGTTATCCATAGGAACGTTTGCTCCCATCAGTGCAGTAAATTCAGACCTGAGATTCCCATTCCCTGCACCAGAACAGGAGGACAGAATGCTTCTAGTAAAACAAAGCAGATTTTTCCTGCTTCTCAGTTATGGCATTTCCAAGAAGAGCATTAACTTTAGCAGCTGGAGCCATCTGCCCTAAATAAAAGGATGCGTGGTAATTGTCCCGTCTCTTGCAACAGCCCATGCAGAGATGGAAAAGCTGATGCACAGTGCTTCAGCAGCACTGAAAATCCCATTCACTGGAGCTGGAGTCATGAATATGCAACGCAAACCACCAGGCTCGTGCACCTCTGCTACCAAAACAACATCTTGTGCTTCGTTTTAATGAAGACCCAACCCACCCTCATTGGTGAGCTGAGCTCGCCGGTGCTCAGCTCTGCGGCTGCGCTGTGGTGGGAGGTGAAATGATGTGCAGATGGATCTGGCTTGAAAGAAAACAAGTTAGTTCATCGTTGTCACTGTGCCAGGGTTTTATTCCTGAATGCGACTCAGGCTCTGCAGTTGACAGCGCGATTTATGTTCGGAAACGAAACAAATCTTGAACGTTGTTTCCATGTTCTTGTTCATGCTTCAAAGCGGTTTTATATAAGAGCTGTTTGTTAACTCCTCCTCCTCCCTGCTCCGAGCAGCATTAAATGCATCCTGCTGACAGGGACAGAGAAGTCTAAGGCAGAGAATGAGCCCAATGCCTTCCTGATGTTCTCCTACAGCTTTTGTCCAACAGCAGTCAAGGAGCGGATGGTGCGGCCAAAGGAGTGGATGATTTGCCCATGGGTGGCCAAAGGGTGGAGGGAAGAGCTCAGCAGTTCCAACACGCTTTGTTCAGTGTCTGCCTGAGTAGCATCTCTCAGTTTAACCAATCTGAGTTGTATATTTGGTCGCCTGTGTGGGGCTTGCGGTAGAAATCCTGATGGTTTGGATTCTCTCCAGCAAAGCCAGGGTCCTAAGGGCTCCAGGAGAAGGTCAGGGCCCAAAGAAGAGCTCTCCAGCTGCCATTCAGTGTGCCGTGGGCGACTTTCCCAGCACGTGTGTGATTTGCTCTCTGCTCTCCTTGTCCTCTCCGACGCGTTTTTACAAAGCCATGCCCTGTGATGCTTCCCACAGCCCTCAGGCTTAACCTGTGGCTTTTTTTCAAGCTTACTCAGTGAAGATCCATCTCTTCTGACATCCTCGGGTTCCAGCATGACCTCGAATTGGCTGAACTCAGCACGACTGCTCGCTCACCCCTCTGATCTGAGCAGCGTTGTGCTTGGCTTGCACCAAGGCCAGCAAGAGGTGGGCTGCACCCTTTCTGTGCTAAATAGCAAGAATGCCCCGAGTTTCTGTCTGTAGAGATCATCTGCATTCTGCTTTTTTTCACATATCCATTCTGGGGAAGTGAGGTGGGGCTTCTCTGGCTCTTTTTCCCCAGCTTACCAGGGGCTGCTAACACCAACCAGATGTTCATGCCTCATAAAGTTTCCAGGATGAGGTAATTGTTTGCTATTCTAAGGCATCCCCGTAGTTACTGCTTAAGACAGGCCGTGTTTCTTGTCTGCTTCGGAGTTCAGAGCTCACTGCATGTGTGTGTGTGGGGGGGTTCCTCGGTCAGAACACTCCTCCTGGTTCTCACTTCCAGTGCACAGAATGGTGAAGCAGAACCAGAGGAGTAAAGTCACTGCGTGATGATCTTGCAGATGTTCTCCAGTGTGTAGCATCTGCCTGTAACCCTAATGTCTGCCCTGGGGCTCTATGGTCTCCCCATCATGTGGTGCAATTGCCTCTCTGTCTCCAGCCTGCCTGTGCCCAGCCTTACCTCCAGCCTGGAGAAATGGGGCTCCAGGCAGGATTTGCTGGTGGCTCTGAGCCTGGGCAGCTGCTGGGCTCATCAGCAGAGATTTATGAGCAGGAGAAGATCCACAGTGGTACAAAGTAGTTCACACTGGACCACCGAAGAGCATCACCTGGGACAACCTGGCCGAGTCACCAGTTTGGTTTCAAGCAATCAACCTGGAAAAATGCTCCTTGGTTTCTTTACCCGATCCTGGCCAACCTCTCCGACCCACTCACTGGTCAGCACTGCTGTTGTCTCTCCTTGCACTGTGCTCTGCATTTGTTCACAGCAAACCCTGGAGCGAGGAGCAGCACAGGGATCCAGCAGAGCCACGTCAGATCCCAGCAAGGCGTTGGCTCCCAGCACCTCTGCTTCCTTCAGCTTCTCACATTTCCCTTTCAGCAGTGCCCTGATCCATATTTACACTTCGCTGACTGTTTCAGCCCTGATACAGCTAGGATGAATCAGGGATGCTTTCTTTTCCCGTTTATCACACATGCCCCTTCCCTTTAGCAGTCCCTGGAACAGCTTCAGTTTGGGAGCAAGAAGCAGGAACTGCTGCCAAGCTCTTCTGCTGCAAACATGTAAGCAAGGAGATTTCTCTCACTCTCAGATACTGCTTTCAAGCTCACAGTTGTTCACAGTGCAGCTCTAAGAAGCGGGAGAGCCATAGCACTCCACAGCCTATAGGGGATGGCCAGCAAGGGGAGCAGCTCATTCTGGGAGAGGTTTTTTGGGGGATGTGTTAGCATGCTGCCTTTTGAGTTAATAGACCCTTGGATTCTTGAGTGACAACGTAACAGAGGGTCATTGTGAGTGTGAATGGAGCAGCCCTCCATCCATCCCTGCTCCATCCATCCCTGCTCCATCCATTTAATTACAAGGCGTTCTTCTCCCAAATGCACCTCCATCGGTGCAGCTCCTCCGGATTCTGGCTCTTCTATTTCTTTCCCCTTTGGTTTCTTTCAGAATGTTTGCCAGCAGGAGGAAGCAGCATTACTGGGCTTACTCCATGGACTGCACTGGGAACGAGGCGCACATCTCCAGCTGCAAACTGGGCAACCACCTCAACGTGGACACAGAGAAGAATGCAACATGTGACAACGGGATGCCCGCAGTGGCCAGCTGTGTCCCCGGCCGTGCCTTTGCCCCCAGCAGCCACAGTGGCTTCCGAAAAGCCTTCAGGCAGGAGGTGAGCAGGGAGCAGGAAGGATAAACAGGGAGAGCTCTGCACTGTGCCGTCCTCGCAAGGACGCTGTGCCAGGCTTGGAAGGGCAAGCAAATAAATGTGTCACGTTTCTGTCTGCTCCAGCCAATTGAATGAGTGCCCATTGCTGCTGGGCTTTGCTGTTTTGCAGTCAATTAAAAGCTGCTGAGCTCTGTCTCCTGTAGAGATCCAATGGAAGTGAGGTTGTATTTCCACTACTCTTGTGTTTTCTGCAAAGAAGGGCCCTGAGAAGGAGGGAAAACCTGCAGGAGAGGTCGGGAGAGCTGTGTTTGTTTAGTCTAGCAAAGAAGACTGAGCATAGCATAAAAATCCTCAGCTATGCAAAAGGCTGTTAGAAAACAAGTCCGGATTCGGCTGCTCTTGGTGTCAGTGGGGCAAATGAATGGGGAAGAATAACAAACATGTTTTAGGTTGATGCCTAAGGAAATCCTCTGTCTGTAAGATATGTGCACCTTTAGGGGGTGATCGTAGGGCTGCAGGCCCTTAATACAGGTTTGGTATTTTGCACTGTGGATCTCCAGGTAACCTGCATTCCCCAGCACTGTGCTGTTGTAACTGTAGGAATGGGTTTTTTCTGGATTCAGAAGACCCCAGACAGTTCCCTAAAATCCCACTCTACAAGAAGCCATAAGGATTTAGATCTCGGGGTGAAAGGTCTTGTAAATCATTGCTAATCTTCTGAGCCATGCATGCTGCCAAGTAAATCTTTAAGCCTTTGTGTTGGCTTTGGATATCCTTTGCTTGACCCCAAGCCTGGAGAACTGCGTATGCTTCCAGCTTTAAAAGTGAGGGTTTCAATGCTCTCAGGCTCTGCAGACTTCACTTGGGGTTCCCACAGCTCACCCCACATCTCTCGGGTGCTGCAGACGGAGGGCTGCTCTGCTTGGCACTGGGATGGAGCACCTCCATCCCATTGGGAGGGAAGGACTGCGAGACTGCTGCAAAGCTGCTGTTGACCCCATTTTTGGGGGGGGTCCTTGATCTGTGAAGGGTATCAAGGCTGGTAGATCCCCAAGGGCATCTAGTCCAAGCTGCAGCAAAGTGCTCGCAGGTGTCTTTGATCCAAGCTGCCAGCATTTTCAGAATGAAGAGTTCTTGTAAGAACGAGACTTGCAAAGGGTTTGGTAGGAAAGCAGCAAACTGCTGGCCGTTAGCTAATTAATGCAACTAATTTCATCTTAGGGAGATGGCCACCACTTCATCTCGTGGCGGTGATGGGTTGACGGTTAGAACTGATTGGCCTTGATGATCTTAGGGGTCTTTTCCAACTTCAAAGATTCTATGATTCTGGGGGCACGGTGGGAATGGGGTGATGGTTGGACTTGGTGATTTTAGAGGTCTTTCCCAGCCTTAATGATTCCATGATTCTATGGCCATAGGGGCGATGGGTTGACGGTTGGATTTGATGATCTCAGTGTTTTTTTCTTACTGATTCTATGATTTATCTCATAATACAAAAACTTGCCTTCAGCTGACATGCTTAGCTGCTTTGTATTCAAGGTCTGCTCTTGAGTTCTTTTGCACACGCGAGGAGAACTGCAGCGTCTCTTCCATCCATGTCTTCCAGCAACCTCTGGTGAGGCTGAAAGGAGGAGCCAACACCGGCGAGGGCCGAGTGGAAGTGCTGAAGAATGGGGAGTGGGGCACGGTGTGCGACGACAACTGGAACCTGGTGTCTGCCAGCGTGGTGTGCAGGGAGCTGGGCTTCGGCAGCGCCAAGGAGGCGATCACGGGGGCAAGGCTGGGGCAAGGTAAGGGAGGGGAGCTCCGGGGACCCGCCGTGTCCCGTTCTCTCCTGAGAGCCCCTTCATGATCCAGAGCAGCGTGTTTTCACTGGGATTGTTTGTTTCGGGTGCCAAGAATTTCCTGTCTCCTCTTAGTAAGTCTCCTGAGGCTGTGCCTTAGGGAGGCGTTCAGGATTCGTTGAAAGAATTCTGGTGCCGATGAGTTTAACCTTCCCCTCAGCAGCTGTTCCAGTAATTACTTCTTCGTTATCGCATCCGTTGCACTCAAAGTCTCTTTATAAGTTCTCCAGATGCACATTACTAGAAGGCTCCTGGCAAAAGTGGGTCTTGGACATAGACCTCAGACACTCTCCAATTTAAGCCCTGAACCTTAATTTAGCCTGCTAAAAATAGGAGGGCTGTTTGCACAACTCTGAGCCAGCTTGGGTTTGGATTTCCTGTAACTGGGAGTTGGTTCAAATCCCAAACTCTGGTAAATGGCAACTCAAAGCCTAACATTTGCCCTCTCAAGCCAACTGCTGATTGCCTTCATGTAAACCCTACAGATAATGACACCAAACCCAACCCTTCATAGTGAAACGCAATGAGCAGGTGGTATTTCTTCAGACCAGCATGGCTTGGAGAAAGTGCAAGACAAGGAGAGCTTTAAAATGGGACTTATCTGTTGGATTTGCAAAACAAACGAACAGAAACCCAAGAACGATGCGCTGGGATGTGCAAGGTGAAGCACACAGGGATGGGCTGATTGGAGCTGGTAGTAGTTGGTGAACAGCAATCCCAATTAAAACAAAAGGGATCGACTTCTGAAAGGCCCTTGGTCCAGCGGTGTGAATGTGCTATCCGAATGTCCTTAGGAGAACCAGGGTAAAAGCCCAAGCAGTGGGTGAATATGTTTGTTGGGTATACAGCCCTAATTCTGTTCTTCTGCTAAAGGCAATGGCATGGGGAAAACGCAGAGCTGTGGCCCTGCCCTCTGGCTTTGTCATCTCCTTGGTATGACGTTGTCAGGGTAGAATGTGAGGCTGGATGCGTGCTGCGTTCTTGGTGCATCACCCTCCAGTTCTGGTCAGCACCATTCCTCCTACAGAACTGCTTACAGGGCGGTGTTGCCGTTTCCAGCTGCAGACCACTAACTGGATTTTAATGAGAGCAACAAAAAACCAGATGTGCGTGCCACACATCTGCAGAAATATGCTGGAGAGCTCTTGTTGTTGTTGTTGTTGTTGTTGCACTTTCCCAGTCCTTGTGCTGCAGTCTGTGGAGGTGAGGGGTTCACCAGGCACATTATTAAGCTGTCACTCAGGGTGAGGGATCTGAGTCCCAGGTGTGCTGGCTGCCATGAGGTTAGGAAGGCTCCAACTGGCAACAGAAAAGGGTTTTTGAGCAAAGGATCCCGCCTCCCATCAGCAAACCAATTATCTTTTCCTGCCTTCCAGAGCCAGCCCTTTGCTTTGAAGGCTAAAAGGAGCAGGCTTGGAGTTGGGTGACACGTTCCTCTGCAGAGAGGTGGGATGCAGTCGGTGGAGCTGCCACCATCTTCTTTTGGGCAACTGGTTTCACCTCTGGGTGACCCACTGGGGCAGTGGGTGTCATTTCAGTGCCTTGAGCTGGACCCTAATTTATGTGTATGGTGTTGCTCAGCCCCCTCTGGCTGTTAGGAGTGGGTGGTGGTGGCCATCGCTGACACACAGATGTTCCTTTCTTGTCCATGTGTGTCCATCAGCAATTATGGGAACTGGTTTGCACAGGCTCCAGAAAAGGCTCTGTTTTGTGATAAAAAATTGGATTAATTCGCTCAAAACTTCTTTCCAAGTGGATTTGGGCTCAGTTTGGAATCAGGACGTAGGATTTCTATAGGATAATTACCTTCTCATGCGCCTTCTCTCCCTTCAGGGTCTCTTTGGAAGTGGCAGTTGTGCGCTGTGACTTCACAAGGATGGAACCAATTATTCCTTTCTGATTTCTGCCCCACTGCCTTAGCACCATTTTCTGCAGCAACAAAAGCCAATGATTCCCTTCCTGTCTTGTTACCAGTCTTGTCACAGTCGCTTGCCCCAAAATGTTTCACCGACCTCTTGCACATCCCCGTGTTGCTCCATTTTGCTGTCCCAGTGAATGTGTCCATGTTGCATCTAAATGTCAGGTTTTGGCCAAGAACAGATTCCTGTCACACAAACCCAGCCAAAAGGTCGTAATTTTTGCTCCAGCTGAAGTTTGTAAATTATGTAACAACGGAAACTTGGCTTTTTCTGCAGCGTGTGGCTCCCGGAGACTACTGGAAAGAATGTGAAATGGTAAAATTAATAATGATAATCTTGCAGCTCTTTCATTTTTTACAAGAAATCGCTGGGATTTTTTTTTTCAGGATCACCTTGTTTTGAATGCTAGAGGTCTGCAAAGTATTAGCAAACGGTTATTGGATAGTTCTCCACTCCCCAGTAGCACGGGCAGAAGATATGACCTTATTTTCTTCCCCTCCCGAAGGCATGGGTCCAATCCATCTCAATGAAATCGACTGTACAGGATTTGAGAAATCCATCACAGACTGCAAGTTCAACATGGAGTCGCAGGGCTGCAACCACGAGGAAGATGCTGCTGTGAGATGCAACGTTCCCGCGATGGGTTTCCAGAACCAGGTGAGAGAAGCCCAGAAGCTTAAATTCCTGAGCCTCAAAACTGACCTGTGATCCTTGCCCAGCTGCTGTGTCACCTCTGCTTGCAGTGACGTTTACTGATGGGAGGGTTTGTGGGGTTTTTTTTGCCCTACAGCTGCGCCTGGTTGGTGGTCGCAACCCATATGAAGGTCGGGTGGAGGTGTTGGCTGAACGCAACGGCACGCTGCGCTGGGGCACGGTCTGCAGCCAGGGATGGAGCACTGTGGAGGCCATGGTGGTGTGCAGGCAGCTGGGGCTGGGCTTTGCCAGCCATGCCTTCCAGGTGGGTCCCCATAAGCATGGGTGGCACGGGTGAGGTTGGGTAGAATCATTATGGTTGGGAAAGACTTCTAAAGGTCTTCAAGATCATCAAGTTCAAACGTCGGCCCATCCCCATCATGCCCACTCATAGAATCATTAAGGTTGGAGAAGACCTCTATGAGAGCCAAGTCCAATTATTGACCCATCACCACCATGTCCTGAGATAGAACCCTTAAGGTTGGAGAAGACTTCTGCGATCACCAACTATAACCCACCCGTAGAATTATTAAGGTTGGAAAAGACCTCTACAATCACCAAGACCAATTACTGACCCAACCATGTCCCCAAATAGAATCTCAGAATCATTAAGGATGGTGAAGACCTCCAAGACCCCCAAGTCTAACCCCAACTCATCCCCACTGGCCACGTCCCTCAGTGCCGTATCTCCACAGCTCTTGGACACCTCCAGGGCTGGTGACCTCATTACCTCCCCAGGCAGCCTGTGCCAATGCCTGACCACTCTTTCAGAGAAGAAATCTTCCCTAATATCCAACCTGGTCCTTGTTCTTCACTGGGTCACACTGGGATCTGAGCTGAGTGAGGTTGGAAGCCAATTTTCTCCTGGTGTCAAATCATGAGAAAACAATTTGATTTTGCTCCCTTAGTTACTTCTCAGTGCAGCACGTGGTGCGGCTGCATGCTAGCTCCCTGGGTTGTTGGTGGCTTTTCCTTCTGTGATGACAAATGCCCTTAAGCCTCCCTCCTCACACATGACCAAGAACAGCACTTAAAAGGGATAAAAGCCACCAGCTAGCACGTTTGGGGCAACCACAGAAGAATGAAGTGTTCTTTCTCAGCAAAGCTCCTTGGCGCAGGGAGCAGCAGCCTGCTGTGCTGGCTGTAGGAAAGCAAGCAGCAGCCCCAGAAATAGGACTGCATGCAGGGCAACAGAAGCTTGCCACCCCAATAAAGGACACAGACCAATAACCCTGGTGCAAGACGTGCTCTTGAATTGATGCACCCCTCAAGGATCACAAGGACAGGCAGCTTTTGCAAGGAAATGTAGAACTGTCTTTACTGCAGTTCCTGGTGTTGGCACAATGGCTCCCCAAAGGAACTGGCTTCTCTCTGGGAAAGCAGTCCCCTGCCAGAGCTGTTCTCTTGCAAAGTGGCCCCTGAGAGTGGAGCTTCGGGGAAAATGTGGCTCGCGCTGCCACTGAGTAAATAAAATTCAAGTGGGCTTTCACTGATAGAAGGAAAACTATTTTCCCCCAAACAATTGCCAGAAAGCCAGACCTTGGGTGCAGGAACAAAAAGCAGCACAGAGCATCTCCTCCCAGGGAGCAGAGGCTGTGCCACACTCCAGCATTTTGGTGCTGTGTCCAATCCGCTGGGCTTCTGACCAAGCCGGGATGCCAGGAGGACATACCAGGCTCCTGAGCAAGCAGATTGCCGTGGGTTTTAAGTGTTGCTCATGGCCAGAGAGGGAATCTGGGGTCTGATGCCTTAGGAGGGAGGAGGCTGGAGCTTTGCTGCAAGCTGGTTCCTCCAGCTGACTGCTTGCACAGCTGCCAAGCGGAGCACAAGAGCTGAGGATAGCCACGTCCCTTCAATGCTGGCCTTTCCAGCTCTGTTGACACAGCCCTGAGAGTCCAGTGAGAAACAAGACATTTTTTCCTTTAGCTGAGACTGTTGGTATTTAGAACAGAAAAGGCTCTTATGCGTATCCCGGCTGCAGCAGCGACGCGAGCATAAAGCTACACTGTGTAGAACAGGGCAGCCCTGTGTGCAGGGTGTTGCTAACAGGGTTAACAAACAGCCTGTTGCAATGGAAGCAATGGTGCAGATGGGTTCTCTTTTCCTAGAAATGTTTCCAGTTTGGGCACTAATGCAAGGACGAAAATTCTTTTTCTTCTTTCTTCCCTTCACCCAAGCTTTGCCATTGCAGTTTCACTGGGGCTACAGAAGGTTTTGAGAAGGTGAGAGATGCTGATCAGCAGCATCCTGCCTCCATTCCTCTGCACTGACACAAACCAACAGCTCCATCAGGAACCCCAATCCCTTAAAAGAGGGCACCGAGCAAATCTGCCTCTGATGCAACCTCATGCATGCAGGGAGAACACAAGTTATTCACAAGGATACACAATTATTCCCATAGCAGCCCATGAAATGGAGTGTAAACGCCTCTTTCTATCCCTCTGCCCAGGAAACCTGGTACTGGCATGGAGATGTCAGTGCTGACAGCGTGGTCATGAGTGGGGTCAAGTGCTCAGGGACGGAGATGTCCCTGGCCCACTGTCGTCATGATGGAGCCGACGTCTCCTGTCCTAGAGGAGGAGGTCGCTTCGGTGCTGGCGTGTCCTGTTCAGAGAGTGAGTTGTCATAAAACCACAGGCTGGGTTGGGTAGGAAGGGATCTTAAAGATGATAGAATCATAGAGTGGGTTGGGTTGGAATGGTCCTGGGAGACCATAGAATCTCAGAATAGTTGGGTGGGGTGGACGGGTCCTTAAAGGTCATAGAAGCATAGGATGGCTTGGGTGGAAAGGTCCTTAAAGGTCATAGAAGCATAGGATGGGTTGGGGTGGAAGGGTCCTTAAAAATGATGGATTCGTTGAATGGTTGGGTTGGAAGGGTCCTTAAAGCCCATTCAGTGCCACCCACCACTGTGGATTGTTGCCTCCCACCAGACCAGGTTGCCCAGAGCCTCACCAAACCTGACCTTGAGCACCTCCAGAGATGGGACATCCACAGGCTCTCTGAGCTCCATATCAGTATCTTGCTACCCTAACCTGGGCTTCGGTTCATTTTGTTGCATTTGCCCTGGGATACTCAGGAGAAAAAGACCTGCCCCACCAGCGGGATGGGGCTGACCAAAGAAAGGGCTGGACCCACCTCTAGCAAACTGCGGTGTGTTTTAGGAGCCCATCAGCTCATTTCCCACCTCCCTCCCACCAGCTGCCCCCGACCTGGTGCTCAACGCCGAGCTGGTGGAGCAAACCGCCTACCTGGAGGACCGCCCCATGTTCATGCTGCAGTGTGCGCAGGAGGAGAACTGCTTGGCCAGCTCAGCCATCAACACCTCCGTCACCTCCGGCTACCGCCGCCTGCTGCGCTTCTCCTCCCAGATCCACAACAACGGGCAGTCGGATTTCCGCCCCAAAAATGGTCGCCACGCTTGGGTCTGGCATGACTGCCATCGGTGAGCGCTGTTGGGTCCACTGACCAAACCAGCCGTGGGGAGTGGGAACCGAGCTGATGCTGTGGTTCTGCAGTGACGGTTTGGGACAGGGTTGGTTTTCCTCTGACTTGGGAGCTGAGAAATTCAGCTCCCAGCTTCTGTTCTGCCACTGCTGTCAGATTTGTGCCGCACAGAGCGACAAATGCTCAGGTTTTGCGCTCTTCTACGAACAGCGTGTGAGCAAAGTGGGACGTAGGCAGCGCTGCTTCAGTGTCACAAGGCTGCAGAGCTTCAGATGGGGCACGTGTTGGCACAACACCTCGCAGCCAGGTTGCTTTTGTGATGTGTGTTGCTAAAACCTCAGCGGCAGAGAGCCCAAAATAAACAGGAGATGGCAGTTTCAGGAGGAGGAAACCCAAATGGGTGCAGAACCTCTGCTTCTGCTCTGGCCCTGGAAGGGGGAACGCATGGGTTCTGCAAGGAGCTGAGCACATCGTGGGGTGGGTAAAGGAGACTTTCGGAGCAATTTGGGAGACTGCATAAGTGAGGTGAGATTGGGGAGAGGCCAAGAGCCATCTGTGTGCTCAAAACTGGATTCTGTTTATACGGAGGAGGATGAACTCAATTCCTCTTCAATGTTTCCAGTCTGTAAACAGCAGAAAGTAAACACCTCTTTGAGTGATTCAGACATATTTCAGAAAGTGAGTCAGACTGGAGACCTCAAACTTCTATCAGAGGCTGCCAAAGGAGACAGCTCGCAAGTCAACAGCTTGGAAACGTCCCTTCTCCCCCTGTTGCCTCACCCCATCACTGGGAGCTTCTGTTCAGGAGCCTTTTGATGTGGGAGCGGAACAAAAATGGGAAAGACCGTAGCAGGGAGTGAGAAGGGATTGATTTTTGGCAGGTGGTGGGTTTGGGTTTTGCTGGTTTTAGAGGAAAGGAGGTAAAAAGAAACTTAATCTCTGGAGGAAACATTTCTGCCCCTTCCAGCCTTGCCAACCTTTTTCTGCAGAAATGTGTGCTGCAATACAATGGGTTGGGAGCTTTGAGCCACAGTTATTTTTACAGCTGGGAAGGAGACGAGCTGTGCCTTGTGCTCAGCACTGCTGAGTTTGGGTTGGCGTTGAATTGTGTGGGCATTGCCTCCCTCCTGATCCACACCGATGGGTTTTGGTGTCTTGGGGTTTCAGGACCTCCTGTTCCCAACGAGTGCTGTGGGTTTTCTCCCTGTCCCAAGTCTGGGATCATAAGGAGTGTTTTCCATCAGTATGGCCACACTCGTGCTCCCGGCCTTGACCCCATGTTGCACCCTGGTTCTTCCCATTGCCCTCAGTGCAGGTTCAATGCCTTGCTGAACCAGCATCGTGGCATAGAACACAATGGTCAGCATTACCCAAACCCTGTGGGGTGCCTGACTTTGCTAATTATGGGCCTAACCTTGCTAACTATGAGTCTACAGCCCATCTTGTGTGCTCTCTCTGACGCATTTGTGCTGGCAGTGCGGCCCAGGTTGAGTTGATGCTAACACCTCCCCATTTCAAGCTATGGGATGGAAGGTGTGTGATGCCAGCTGTCACGTTGTTTAGCTCCCCGTGAAGCGAGTGCTGAGAAAGATGCTTCCATCTGTCATTCGTTTTGAGGAGGGGGAAAAAATGCAAAATAGGTTGATAGTGTGAGTACACCCTGTGCTGGTTACAGCCTGTTGGTACAAAGCAACTGAAATGCTTCTTGTAGTGATGACAGTGCACTAGAAATGATAACCTGGCTGCTGCTGCCCTTACAAAACAGCGTGTGGTTCTACCAAGGCTCTTACCTGGAAGCAGCTTCAGCACCTGATATGTGAACCAGCCCTGGGCTGGGAGCCAGCACGCAGGATGGTGCCCAGGGGAAGGTTTCCTGGCTGTGGTTTCTCTTCTGCTGCTCCTTCTGGTCCCCAGCACTTTGCATTGTTTCTATTCCCCCACGCAGCCCCTGAGGGGCAGTAATTAAAGAGCTGTTTTCCTTAATGAATCCTCGTGTCTTGCAGGCATTACCACAGCATGGAGGTTTTCACCCACTATGATCTACTGAACCTCAATGGAACCAAGGTAGCTGAAGGACACAAAGCCAGCTTCTGTCTGGAAGACACCGAATGTGAAGCAGGTATGGCTGTTCTATTCTCTATGGTATAAGAGAAGCCCTACAGAGCCCGTGTGTTGAGGCTGCCAGAACTCAGCTTCTCACTTACAAAGTGTGCATGTTGCTCCCACAAAGCAAGAAATCCCCAAACTCACCTCTGGGTGATGACACAGGAGAGGTGGCAGCTCTTCCCGTGCGTGTTACTGGTGCATCCTTTTCATTACAAGACATTAAGCAAAGCAGCATTGAACCGTCTCATCCAAAATTGTGTGCCTGTAGCTCATTGCTACCCACGGGAGCTAGGGAACAACCCGCCCTTCCCCTGACACAGTCTGAGAACCCAACACTGTGCTTTCAACTCCTTCAGATGTGCAGAAACAGTACGAGTGTGCCAATTTTGGTGAACAAGGGATCACTGTTGGCTGCTGGGATGTGTACCGACACGACATCGACTGCCAGTGGATCGACATCACCGACGTCCCACCAGGAGATTACCTCTTCCAGGTAGGGGGAAAGAGGTTTCTTATCCAGTAGGGGTGCCAGGAATGTCAGTCTTAAGTAACCCACGTGCAGCCAGCGTCGGGTAGTCCTGCACAATCCACGTGCAGCTAATGCCAGTAACACAGATAGGTGGCGTGGAATGCAACGCGCTGTCTTGGACAAAGTTCTGAGGTTGTAAGCAATGCTTGCTTTGCTCGGGGATGGATGAAGTGCTATTCTTGGGGCGTTTGCAGGAGGAGTTCTGTGCCTGCAGTCTGCTTTGAGCAAGGGGAAGGAGGTGGGGGGAATTCTTTGGTTCTAAAAGCAGCCCAGAGCTGCAGAGGAGCGAAGGGAGGAGGCATTATTTTTGTCCTCACTGCTATGGTGTGAAATGAGAGGTGCTTGAGGGTTGTGTCTTGGTGCGTGGGCAGAGGTGTGATCATGATCTGGCTTTAATTAAGGAGCCTCTGTCTGCTCCCCTCATGAGCTACAGTCACAGACTCATTAAAGTTGGAAAAGACCATTAAGATCGTCCAGTCCAACCATGATTATGCTGCAATGAAAAAGCTCGATTCTCTCCCAACCTGATCCTAGAATCTCACCTCCAAATAACTCCACCCTGTGTTTCTCCATCGCTCCTAAGGTCGTCATCAACCCCAACTATGAAGTGGCTGAATCTGATTACTCCAACAACGTGATGAAATGCCGGAGTCGGTACGACGGGCAGCGCATCTGGATGTACAACTGCCACACAGGTGAGAGAACAGCACAGCTCCAATTTGCCTTAAAAATCATCAGATCCCTTTGAAAACGGAATGAAGTTGCAGGCTAAGCTGAACCGTTTTTTAACATGGAAAGTAACTCAACAGCAGCTGCCTGTCAACTTCCAAATAAAGCCCATGGCAAAGCCAGTTTCCATTGTTGGCTGAAGTTCCTCAAGGAATGTTTTCACTGTTTCTTTTTTTTTTATTATTATTATTATTAGTTTGTTGCTTTTCTGAAGAAAATACTCATCTCACATTACAGCTTATGACCTAGTTCGAAAAGCCAAACCCCCTCCAGTTGGACAAAGAGCACTGAAGTGCTGGATGAGCTCTCCAGCTGAGCTTGAAAATACTTTTACTTCAAAATGTGTTCAGCTTTTGTCTCCAAATGAGCAAAAAGTGAGGCCAGGGCCCTATTGAAGAGCAAAACAGAGCCCCCCCTTACCCTCACCCTCAAGGAGACCATTTCACAGTCCTGAGAGTCAACAAAGGTTAGCAGAAAACTCAGCACAGGTCGTAGCCAAGTCTCCCAAACACATCAATTAGACCCAAGACTGTTTGGCTGTTCCAATTATGGCAAGGCTTAATTAATACTTAAATTAATTAGCCATGAACTACCTTGCCCTTCCAGCATTTGCTTTGGGGCCGTGTTGCAGCACCTTGCTCTGGCTGTGCGATGCCCCACTTCCACCACTGCCCGCTCCATCCCTAACCCCGTGTTCTCTGGGCTCACAGGTGGCTCCTTCAGCGACGAAACGGAACAGAAGTTTGATCACTTCAGTGGACTCACAAACAACAAAGTGTCCACCCGATAGAGCAGCACTGCCTCCCGTCCCACTATTTAAGAAGCGAGGCTTCCCGCTGCGCTCATTTCCCCAACCACTGCGCCAAGACAAAAAATCAAGCAAGCAATCAAACTCTAAATTAGCAAGGTAAATTATTTTCTGAAGCTGCCTTCCTTCCCGGTGTAAATGCTTGGACCACCTCTTGTAAATCCCACCCCCGCTGCCGAGGGTGTTGGGAGCAGGCTTTCAAACTCTACTGGGCTCCAACCTCCCCCCACCATCTTTATGTGTGTACACAGCTCTGGGCTGCAGTGAGCTCAGTTTGCCTTTGGTTGGGTATCAACAACCTCAACGGGTCTTGACCATTCATTTTCTTCACATTTTGGTACTTTTAAGCTTAAGCTGAAGCACCACTGACGCATATTCTTCCATTTGTGATGATGCTCACCCTCAGCACCGCTGCCACTGCTCCATTTTAGCAAAGAAACACAGGCAAGAAAACAACATCGAAGCGTTCCTTCTGAGCAGAACAGTCTAAAGCATAATTTAATACTGCAGCCAAACTCTCGCATTCAACAACCAACTCCCAGAACCAACGGAGCAGCAAATGCAGAACTCTGCCTCCACGTGCAGCACAGCTCCTCCACCACCCAGAAGCCGTGCTGAGTCCACAGGATCGTTGCTTCCCACTGCACAGCAAGCAATTCACCCAGCAGCCCCTACGTCCACCTACACGTTACCTTCGAAGCTGGATATTCCCTCTTTTGGAGGATGAGTTCAGTTAAGGCATTGCACCCCTGTACCCTGCAGAGGTAACTTCATGGCTTGCATCGTCAGGGATGCGCTGACCGCCTAAGTTGGCTCCGAGGATTTCTTTTTTACACTTAGTTCAGTTCACAATGGTGCTAAGTGTGCTCCTCTGTTTGTTTGAGGACGCACGTCGCTACAGATTTTCCACCACAGCTACTTGAATAAATCGTTTCACCCAGAAAAAAAATATATCTACGTTTTTAAATCCCACTTTCTATTTCTACTCCCCGCCAGCTGAGGGCTTTGTTCACAATTCCCGGTACTGAAGTTTCCTTCTCCCTCTGTGTTTGTACAGAAGGCCTCTACACGCAGCTAGAACTAATGGAGTGCAGCCAATTAACCATCTCAATCCGCAGGGATCAACCCACTATCCTACCTCACAGGGATGTTGTGAGGCTTAACGGTTCTTGCTAACGCCTGGTGGAGTATTTCTTGTATCCAAGATGTTGACACAGAGGAGAGGCTTTCAGCCTACTGCAAGTTGGAAAAGTCCATTTTGTTCTCAAGATGCAGGACAGTGCAGCTAAAGCAGAGCCTGGGGGATGCTCTATTGCTGCTGCTGCAACTCAAGGTGTCTCTCGGAGCATCCCTTGCCATTGGGCTCTGTGCAAGTTGAGCTACTGTTGAGTTCTGGCTTGCTTCTCCTAATGAACAAATAACTTCGCTTTCTAACGGAACAACACAGGCAGGCTTCTTTTCAATGAGGAAAAAACCCTGAACCTCAATGCCTGTCGCTACTGGGGGATATTTAACAACAATATGACAACAGAGTAAACACTGAACAGAGCTTTTGACTCCTACAGATGCTCTGCTCCGACTGAATGCTGGCCAGTGAGATGCCCTTCCCTCACCCTGGTGCACTCCTAACAATTCCTGGTGGGCTTTAACACGAAGTAACGCTTCCTTACGTGCTGCAGGGAGTGCAGATGCTTTGGAGCAGAGCAGGGCACGGTGTTCTCCAGCACAAAGAGCAATCTGCAGGGCTCTGGAGCTCGACATCTCATTCAACTTTTCCCCTTCTCAACTCAGAAAGCAAAGAGAACATCCCCATGGCAACTCACTGTTCTGCATGCAGTTTAATATCACAGCCAGGCTCATCTACACATGGTTGTTGTTTTGTTTTGAGTGGAGATGGTTCACTCCTCCTGGTCCAAACCTTCTGGCAGGAGCCCTTCGGAGCCGGAGCTGCACTGCTGCTGGTGCTTCAGCCCCAGGGCTCGGGTCACCAACCTTCTTGCCACCACCGTGTCAGTCTGGGGTCTCTCTTTGGCAAGCTGAAGGAGTTCTGGGTGAAAAAAGGTAAAAATGGTGAAGCTGGAGGTTACTCAGGAGCAGTCTTATGGCTTACGTGCAGGACACAAGAGCAGGTGTCTATTTTCTGAGTTCCTTTGGGATGAGCATTGCTATGAGCAAACCATCCCACCCTACAGAGCAAGTTGTTGTTCTTTTGGAAAGGCTTTCCTTCAGATTTTGTACAACAGCTTTTGTGCAACAGTGACGACATTTGGACATGAAGCAGCTCTGGTCCTCTAGTGGTCCATGATGGTTGGACCTGATGGTCTCTTCCAACCTCAATGATTCTATGGGGATGGAGGTCATTTCCAACCCTAATGTGTGTTTAAGGTTCTGTGGCTGTGCAATGTTCCCCATTTCAGGCTTTCAGGAACACTGCAGCTCCATTCCCTTCTCTGAGAACAAAGCGAAGGCACAGTCCAACCCACGGGGCCACACAGAGAGAGATTTCATCTCAGCATCAGCTCACCAAAACCAACAGCCTCCAGCCTCAAAAAGCACCAAGGGAAAAACGCCTGGTTTTGTCCTTTTTTTTTTTTAATCTGTTAAATCTATCGGATGCTTTAGGAAAAAACTGGCCAGGAGGGAGCAGTGAGCTCCAGTTCCTAGCACACATCTGGCTTGCTGCAGTTTCATCCTCAATAAAGCAATGCACCAGAACCTTACCAAGTCCAAACTAACCTGGATTTGGCTGCTATCTGATCGTTTATCAGCAACTGTTTGCAAATTATTATCCAGTTAGCCAAGAGGGCTTTTGCTTGCTTTTTCAGAAGTGTTATTCCTAAAGGCAGCCTAGCAGCAGCTTAAGGGAAAAGGGGGGGCAGGCTCAGAGCATCACAGCTTGGACCGTGGAACTGCCAACCTTTCTTTTAAAAAGCTGTTAAAAATAATAATTAAAAAAAAAAAGAAAAAAAAGAAAGAGACACTGTCAGCTAATTGAGATCCAAACCTGCATTTGGAATAAATGGCACTTGAAGTGAGTGCAGGGTTTGTATGCGGCTGGAGCTTATAAGCTGATCCCACTCCTGCCAGCAGGGTACAGATGGAGAATTTGAATGACAACAGGTGAGAAGTGTGAAAGCAAACCACTTCTTTCACATTTAATCGAGCTCAGGAACTTCTAACTGTGACAGTGTCCCTTGGAATCATTCATGCTGACATCTGTTTAGTGCAGTGACTGCAGCTGTGCCTTCGTCAGCCTCTCTGCTACAAGATTCATGGCATTTCTTTACAGTGGCAAGTGTACCTGATTACAGTATGATTTTAAAAGGCAATCACCTAAATAAACCAATGTTAATGGCTGAGCTTAACCATTTCCTCTTCACTGATACTGAATAAAATTATGCCAACCACAAAACAACTGCTCTGGGGTTTCTCTTTAACTGTGCAGAGTAGGGCAGAGCTTTTTGGGCAAATGTTTTGACGTATTCACGTTCACCTGCGCCCCCATTTGCAGCTATTTTGGCTGTCAGAGCAACAAGCAGCATTACTGGCATTGGAAGATGTGAGGTAACAGGCTGGGGGCAAATACTGCCCTGCCACAGCCAACAAAGCTGTTAGAAAAGGAATGCTGGTATCAATAAGTAGTTCCCCATTAAAGTGTCGCCGTGAGACTGACCACCCAGGACACAGAACAGGCAACTAAAGAAATGGTAGTATAGATACACATACACATGTTTATCGTCTTACTTGGTCGTTGAAGTGCCTTAATTTTAGACTGCCTCGTGGCATGGATCAGCGGTCGGATCTTCAGTGAAGGGTAGCGCCGCCCCAGGGCTTGAGATGCTTCAAAGAACAGAGCACAAAGTCAGCAGCAGGGGAATGGTGGCAGCTTTCATCACACAGAACCCAGCCCGTGGCACCACAGCGCTGCACAACCCACGGGCTGCCAAGGCCGACTCACCCCAGGGCTCCCCTCCACCTTACATCAGCCGTTCCTTGGGCAGGAGGAAACATGAATTCTAAGGACCACACTGATAACTAAGGAGCAAATCCCAAGAGCAGAGTGCGGGCGCTCAGGCTGCGCATGGCGACGGGTCGGTGGTTGCACGTGAGGATGGGGGAAGCCTTTTCCAATCTTAACGATTCTATGGGCACGGTGGGGAGGGGCTGACAGTTGACTCGGTGATCTTAGAGGTCATTTATGACCCTAATGATCTATTCTGTAGAGCACTGCCATGGGTTGCCCAGATGCACGGTGGGCGCCCTGTCCCTGGAGGTCAGGCTGGATGGGGCTCTGAGCACTTGGAGCTGTAGGTGCCCCTGTTCATTGCAGGGGAGTCGGACCTGATGGCCTTGACAGGTCCTCCCAAACTCAAGCCACTCCACCAGATAAAAACTGAAATGACAAAACCATTCTGTGCAATGCGTAGCTCACCATACAACAGGTACCCCGGTAATTACCCAAGCCAATTAAAAACCTGTTCATCTTGCAAAGCAGAGCTCCCACGCTACACGCCTTACAGATACTCAAGTTTGATGTGCAAAGAAGCAAGGTGTGAGGAAGCAGAACTCGTGCCCAGGAGCCCCACAGCTCCCCACCTGCAGACAGGCTGGAGAAGATCCCCAGGGCGTGCGTGTCGTCCACCCACTGGATTTTGAAGCCACTCTCACTACAATGAAGAAAACAATACAAGAGTTTTGGTTAATAGGAAGAAAAAGCCACGCGTGTGAAGCCCACAGCCATGTTGAGTTTCCAGGCATTCGGTGTTGCCATCCGAGCACTGCGCCCATTTCACAAAGAGGGGAAAGGATCAGAACTACATCCAGTCCCAGTCTGTGATTCCCCCAAGGACTCTTCTTCCCCTAAAGAAGCTCTTGGCCAACAAGCAGCCTCTATTTCATGGGCTGTCTTGCAATACTGCCATGCACACGGTGCCCTATAAGCACCACCTGAGTGCTCAGCCACTTGCAATGAAAAGCAGAACTCGTCTGCGGAGTGGTTTGCAAAGCTTTGGATGAAGAGACCAAAGCAGAAATCTATTTAATAAAGTGTCAGTGGAAAATGCGAGCTGGGGAGTGAGGAGATCAAAGATTTTTCCCTGCAGCAGGGGAAATAAAAACCACGATCGGGCACTCAAATTAGATCTGTCAATTTGCAGCTCAGTTCCACTCTCACAGCAGAGGGAAGGGAACACGGAGAAGAGGAAACACGGACAACAGACAGCAGCTCATTTAGAATGCAAACAGTGCTTTTCAGCACAGGGGATGAGCTGCCAATGAATCCAACCCCCATGGAGAGCTGTACGAGCCTGCTGACCGCCCCATGGGGCAGAACCTTGCTCTGACCCCACTGCTAATCCAATGTCACCCCTCCTGCACAGTGCTGCCTGCTCCCCGTGTTTACATAATACATCTTATCTCATGCAGCAGGATTGGACTCTTTATTTTCTTTCTGCAAGCATTTAGGTAAGCGTGCAATCCCAACACAGGCATTGGGACCTGAGAGCAAAGAGGCTCCTATGGAGCAGGTAGAAGCTCCCAATGAAGCCAAAGCAGCACAAATAACTCTGCAAGTAGGCAGCACTGTGCAGAAGAGAGACTCAAAGAACACTTCTAGTCACAAACTGCAGGAAAATATCCTTCAAAGCACAGAGCATAAGGAGTCAGAGCACGGGGGTGAGGGTAAAATCCAGCACAGCATCATCACACCCTGTGATGCACTCAGCTCTGAATACTGCTCGTTTCATGCCTCTCAAAAAGGCACTCACTGGAAATCTGAGAACACTTCCATCAGGTGCTCCGTTTTCAGTGATGGGGAGAAGTCGTAGATTTCGGTTATGTGCCCAAAATCCCCCTCGTGGACCTGCGTGTCACCATAGCTGGAATAATCCACCGTGATCCTCTCGACGCTGATGTCCTTCACGGTGAGATGACCCACGATCTGGGAACGGTACAGGAAGAAAAAAAAATGAGTTACCATCACAGCAAAGACTTAAAGACCAAGAGGACGGTGGTGGAACCACCAGGACAACGTTCCTATCAGGTGCTCCCAGCGCTGAGCATCCTGACCCAATGCAACACCCAAATACGGGCAACACGCTGCACGGACTGAGAGCTCACACTGGGCGCCCACCAGATGGGACTTCGTGGCCAACAGCCACCCTGCAGGGTCCCACCTCGGTCCCTCCAACCCACGGAGGGTGCAAGAGGGTGAGCAGCCAACCGCAGAGCCTGGCACCGATGTCTCCCTTTGAGGACAACCCCTGAACGCCCTCTTAACCCCAAAGTAACCCAAAGGCAGCACCCACGGCACGCATTACCTCCTGCAGGAGCTCTGCAGTGCAGTCATCCTCGAAGGCGAGCTCCCGGCTCTGGGTGGCCACATTCTCCTCTTGGTCCCCTTTGGACAACCGCAGCTCACGCTGTAAAGCATCAGCCAAGCCCACGGGCTCCTTGGCTTCATCCTTGACCATGGGCTCGTCCACCCTGTGCTCCTCCTGCTCACTGGGACCCAATGGACCAGCCCCACCGATGGGCTCTGACACAAGCACGGCCTCACCACGTGCTTCCAATGGGGTCTGGTGTTGGGTGGGCTCTTCTTGGGCACTGCTGAAGTTCTCCTGATCTTCACCTTCTGGTGCAGAGGGACCCTCGCCCAGCTCCAACTCTGGCCTTACCACATCCTCGCCTTGCAGTGAGACGTTCCC